AATAATTCCATACAGCTAAGGAGACATTCTCATAGTTAACGCTCAACAATAAAGTTAAGTACACTGAAATACACTGTGCAGAGCATTTCAATTTTTCTTCTTAAATTGGTTATATTTTGTGCTAGAAGAACTCTAAAGAGAGGTTATATTCTTTGTTAAAAGAATTTCAAGGGGCTGGGGATTTAGCTCAGCGGTACAGCACCTGCCTGGCAAGCACAAGGTCATGAGTTCAATTCCCGGTACCGGAAGAAAACCAAAAAAAAAAAAAAAAAAAATTAAGAATTTCAAAGTATTCAAGTTAGTCAAATCCAGGTCTTCAATATTTATATTTTTCTTCAATCAGATTTTATTGGTACATTTTAATTTATTTATTTATTTATTTAATTTTTTTGAGACAAGGTCTCGCTACGCAGTTCAGGCTGGCCTTGAGCTCACTTTGTAGCTCGGGCTGGTCTTGAGCTTGCAAAGATCCTCCTGCCTCAGCCTCCCAAGTGCTGGGATTACAGGTGTGCACCACCACGCCCAGCCTTTATTGGTACATTTTAGATACACATAACAATCACATTCATCACAGAGAATTTGTACCTGTACACAATATAACCTAGTTCTTTTTTTCTCACTCCCCTACTCTCCCTTCAACCCCTCTTCCCCTCTTCTCACTTTTTTTTTTACTTTATCCTTCCTTTCTCTTCAACATTTCTAAGAAAAAAATTATTTAAAAAGGCCTTAACCCACCAGGCATGATGGCTCACGCTTGTAACCCCAGCACTCGGGAGGCCAAGGCAGGAATATCACGGTGAGTTCATGGCCAGCCTGAAGTGCATAGCAAAACCCTGTCTCAAAAAAGACCCCTCAAAAAAGCCTTAACCCTCAAGTACTAAAACTATATCATATCTACCCCAGGGACTTAAATTAGTCATTTACCTGCCAAGAAAGACATCTTCATATAGGTTTATTTTATTCCCTACAAAGTATTCTTAGGAGCTAGTTCACTAGAGTGAATTTTGAGGGAGAAGCTCTCTGAGTGGAAAGAGGGTGAAAAGCATCAACTTGTACAGGATATATGCATTCTGAAAGCACTGGCAAGCCAAAGACAGAATTGATTTTGCTACCAACTTATATACCCATTTTACTTAAACCAACCGAGTGACTGTTACCAAAACTGGACACTACACTGAATGTAGGTTGGAGATAATGGCCCCTATCAGATGCACTGTACAAATGGAAAAGGTACACAGCTACGTGATCTTTGGGCAAAAAGATCATGAACTTCAGGCACTTCTTCAACTATCTGCCCTGTCCTCAACCACTTCCCAAATCCCTTCAGGAGAAAGTAACAGAGGGCATTAACATATAAAAAATTAGAGTATTACATACTAAAGATTCTTGAGTACTGTACTACCTAACCTTGAACCCAATCATAGAAGTTTCTAATAAACTCCTCCTCCACGTAAACACTGCTACCCACAGCAGAAGAGAACCCTCCAGTCATGTGAACTCTTTAATATTTCCTACGGGGAGCGGCACTGAGGATAATTTTTATCTATGTAGAAAGTCTCTGTACAGAAAGAAAACTACAAGCAAGATTACCTTAGAACTTTTGATTTGCTTGAAAGTTTTCAGGCTTTCCCAAGCTCTTTATTAAGATCTACTTACTTTATCCTAGTTGTAAACCATGAGTTAAAGCAAGTTATCAAAAGTATCTAACCCTCTGTTAGCCTAGCGGTAACCTGCCATACACTGCTTAAAAATAATCAAGCTGCCCTTTACAGCCTCTGCTAGTTTGAAGCTGATATCCTCTCCCTGTCTTCATTTTTTGGGAATCCATGACATTTGTGCAGTGCTTTACCACTGTCATACTTGGGTAAGCCAGAGTTAAAGGTCACATTATCCATGAAAGTAAGACACAAAGATAGTAAGATTCAAGTATTTTACAAAACTTACATTTTTTTTTCTCCCTTTTTTTTTGGTACCAGGAATCAAACTCATGACCTCAGGCTTGCCAGGCAAGCGCTTATCCCGCTGGGCTATATCGCTGGCCCTGAAACTTACATAATTGCTTTTTATTAAATACAAAACACCTCACATATATTTCATTCATGGACTTTCAGCATTATTTATAAAATGAAATGCCTTTTGTAGTCCATAAAGAAAATTCTACCAAAAAAAGTGCACACACGGTAATATTTACATTTTGGTGCAGAATAAATGTCTCAAAAAAAAACAAGAATAAGAATCTAATGCCAGGCGTGGTGGCACACGCCTGTAATCCCAGCACTTGGGAGTCTGAGGCAGGAGAATCGTTGCGAGTTCAAGACCAGCCTGGGCTACAAAGTGAGCTCAAGGCCAGTATGAACTGCACAGCGAGACCCTGTCTCAAAAAAAAAAGAATCTATTATTTCTCTTTTATTTGAGGCCATATAGTTCAATACCATATATTAAACCAACCAATAAATACACTACACTGAATGGTAGGGGTAAATTAATTCTTTTAGGCCACAAGGGCACTATTGGCTTTCACTCTGCTCTGTGCACTGACCAAGGCTTAATAGCCTCGAAGTGACTGTGTATTAGAGGGGAAGCACTTACCTACCTGTTCCCCAAGGGCTTATTATTTGTTACTTATTTAAACTGCTAGAGATTGAAGAGGCCAAGTATACAAAAGCAGGAGTCTTCCAAATTTTAACATTTACAAACATGAGCTAGTTAAGAAAACCTGGGTTTCTATGGAACAGCAACATCAGTACACAAGCTAAATCAAACACAATCACTCCCCCCAATCTGGCATTGTCTAAATTCAAATCCAAAAAAGCAGCCCAACAAGAGCAGCAACTTGGAGTCTTACTAATCTCCTCACATTTGAACAGACTACAATAAATCCATTATATTAATCTTTTCCCAGTAGAAACTGTTATCATGTTACCTGCTTTTGGTTAAAATACTTCAGTCCACTGGGCATCTCTAAGTTTTGATTAACCGTGCTAAAACATAATTAACGTGCTGATGTACAAAGCTGGAAACCTCTGAGGTGCTCTGAGATGCCTGCGGAAGCTGCGCTGGGAAGTTCGCACAGCCTACAGCAGGGCGCCAGGGGACCACCTCAATCAGCTGGACGGGCACACAGGTGAGCAGTTCTTAGTACCCCAGACATTCCGCACTCTGTAAGCAGAGAAGCTCTACCCGAACCCCCAACCTGGGATAGCAAACGAAGAACAGTAAGCAGAAATCGCAAGCGGGGACAGGGAAGACCAGGGTCTCCGCAGAAAGATAACAGACAGGGGCCGAGCTTATTTCAGAAGTCCATCCACTTGCCTCTCCTGTAGGCCCATTGCTAGCAATAGAGTTTTGTTTCAAAGACATATTTATATGTAGGACCGCAGACAAGCTCCCATCAGTGCATAAAGAGAACTCAGGCTCGGATTTCTGTACAATTTCCCTTCCTCTTAGAAAAAAAAAATCTAGACTTGAACGATAACATTCAGTACTTGCAGCTGCCACTGAAATGTTCACTGAAAACCTTTTTTTTTTTTTACAAGCAACTTTTCAGTGGGAGAGATGTGTAGTCGGCTTCTCTTTCTCTTAATCTGCCATTCATTATTCTATAGCGCAGTAAAGGGCAGTGAGGATTTCTCTCTTGAAGTGACCTAGAACAGAATGCCACGGCTTTACGTTCCCAACCAGCGATCACTGGAAGACTCTAACCCTAACCCTAACCGTTCCCCATCAGCGATCACTGGAAGCCTCTCCCCGTGAAGTGAGCACACCGGCCGGCCGCGACTCAGGCCTCGTCTCCCGCTTTCAGGCTGACCCACTTCCACAGTCGCCGGGCTCGCAAAACCGCACCTCCAAGGGGGCAGCGGAAACTGCGCTCTGCCAGCACGCAGTCTAACCCCACGGGGCGGAGGGGCGATGCGCAGCCCGGCGGGCACCCCGCCGGCCTCTCAAGACAGCTTCCGCAGCAGCCTGAACCAGAAGCGGCGTCCCCCCGCGGCAAGGAAAGGGGGCCTGGGGCAGAGCGCAG